AGTGGCACCTTCCCTCCATTCCAAACCAGGGCGTGGTCTCTGGGCGTGACCTGTTGTTAAAGACGGAGGGACAGCGTGGCCAGGAGGATGAGTCCCTCCTTGGTCCGGACCGGCCCTGTGCCTAGCTGCCCCCGGGGCTGTGTGCTCGGCTTCAGTCTGACAGCCTCACCTGTTTTCCGGTTCCCTCTGAGTCGCCTGTGTGGCCCCGGGCTCATTTGAGTGATCGCAGCAGTTTATAACTAAAGGCCACATCTCAGTGTGTCACTCGGAGCGTTGGTCTTGTGGGTTCGGGGTTATCCGACTCCGTCTCCTTTACCGATACCTGGGCAGGACACCCCCAAACACCGGCTTCCTTCCTGCGTTCCCCACTCTAAGCACAGCTCGTTCATCTCCAGTGGAAACTGGGCAGCGCCCTGGAGGGCGGCGCAGCGCTCCGTCCAGGCTGGCCCAGCCAGTGTCGCGGTCACGTCGCACAGAGAGGGGCCAGGAGGGCTGCCCAGGCAGTGCCTCGAGCCCAGTGGGCCTGTGCTTCCCCTTGCCCTGAGTGGCCAGTGTGGCGTCTTCCCAGGGTGGGGGCCCCTCCGCTGCCGGGCGTTGTTAGGGTCTCTCTCCCCCTCCTCCCCGCCCCGGAGGAACATCACAAAGCAGATGTCTCCTAAAGCAAGGTCTGGGGTGACCACAGGCTCCCGTGCAGGGGCGGGACCAGCCTCACAGCTCTTGCAGCTTTTAGAGCCCGCCCTCTCTGGGGGCGTGGCCAGATGCCATGTGTTCCAAGCAGCCTGGGTGATTCTGATGGACAGCCCAGCAAAGAACCACCTTGGGAGGGCCCCAGGTTCCACCCCCAGGTCCTCCCCAGTTCCTGGAAGCTGTTGTCTCCCAAGTTTCACCGTCTGCAGCAACACAGCCAGGGCGGGGGCCAAGAATGACAGCCCTGGCAGCCCTCTCCCGCTCACAGGCCGCAGGCCACAGAGGCCCGGGGAGGTTCGCCTGCCTCCTCCTGGTGTGTGCCCGGGCCCGGGCCCAGCTAACCCAGCCTCCCCCCCCCCACCGCCAGGTGCTTGGTATTTCTACCCCTTCGGGCTGCAGTCGATCCACCCCGCTGTGGTTTCCTGGTGGGCGGCGAGGGACGGCAGGAGGCAGCAGGAGGTGTGGGAATCCAGAGACGCCGCCCCCCATTTCCAGGTGGGTATCTGGGGGTCGCACCTGGCTGCCCGCTGCTCGTAGGCGAAGGGCCCTACTGCTGGCCAGCAAGGAGCAGGAGACAGGACTCGCGTCCGCCTCCCCAGGCGCTCGACCGGGTCCGGGGAAAGCTGGGATGTGGGAGCCCCGGCGGGCAGGTCCTGACCGGCGGGGCCTGGATCAGGCCAGCCCGGGAGATGCACTTTCGGTTCTGACTTCCGCGTCCATGGGACCTCTCGCCTCTGAAAAGGCGCCCGTGTGGGTGAGCTCCGCTGGTGCCCTCGGTGTGCGCCCTCTTCTGCTCTGGGGTCCCTCCGCGCACGCACAGCCGTGGCCTTAAAGCCCAAGGCGGGGATCTTCCAGGAAGTTTGGGCTTTTAGGGCATCAGAGGCAGTCCTGTGTCAGTGCCCCCAGAGCTCCGAGGCGCTTAGGCGATGGTGGGCATGGCGGAGCCTCCGGCCCAGCTTCACTGTTGAGTTCCCTGCCCTACACCTGTCAACCCACTGGCCCAGCTGGGTCACCCCCTTCTCTGCTGATCAGGGTATGGGGTGGAGGGGTTACCTGCATTTAACTATGACAGAGAGGAGCACGTGGCCTCGTCGGGCACCGCAAAGTCGGCAGCCAGGTGTCCGGGTGGCCCTTCTGGTCCAAGCAAGGGCAGGCGTGCACCTGCCGTTGACGGCAGCCTCTGGGTCTAGACCCTTGCAGGGGCCGCTGTCAACGTGCACTTTGGTCGCCCAGCCGGGCAGCCAGGACTTGCTCTCACGGCCGCTGGGCGAGGCTCTGGGAGAGGAGGTGAGGCAGAGGCCGGAGCCCTGGCACCTGCGCCGCGTTCTGGGCACAGCCAGACGCAGGCAGAGGAAACCTTGGTGGGTGCGCTTGCGGGTCCCGTGCAGAGCGGCAGCTTCACAAGGCAGAGCCTGAAGGTGACCGGGCCCTGGCTGCGCCCTCCAGGGAGGAGGGCAGCCGTGGCCAGTGGGGGCAGCAAGCTGACGGACGCGCTGCCAGAGCCGGGGGTGAGCGCATGGCCTGGTAAACCTGAGCCGTTATCCTCGCGCTGGGATGATTCGGCCTGGGCGAGCATCCCTGCCGTACTGCGTGTGGCCTCGTGGTTTTCGCCATCTGTTCTGCGGCTGCGTCCTGACCACGATTTCGGTGGTGGTAAGATACATCCGAGACTTTTCCTTGGTAGTCATTAAGGTGTGAAGTGCAATTCCGTTTCATAACCACCTTATCTGTAAAGGGGGCGGAGTCCAGCGGGGCCACGCCTTCATATTTGCTCACCTTTGCAGGGACACAGGGACGAGGTGGCAGGGGCGGCCCCACCACTGCTTCACTTTCTGAGCCCTGCCAAGCGTGTCGCACCCGTGTCAGAACCTCCAGCGCTTGGTGCCCTCTGCCCTTTGGCGCGCAGGCGGCGGTTGGGGTTGTAGTTCTTGGCACAGGTTCTGTTGTTTAGCCAGTAAGGTTCTCAAAACCCGTGACGCGCTGTCAATGCCACCCGCCGACGAAAAGAACTCTCTTCGATCCTCTCTATTTCCCCTTCCAGCCACCATCACCTGTGGCATGTGCGCCAGCCTGTGAGAGGCCACTGCTGGGCCCCCAGCCCCTGCTGTGCCACACCTACACGGGTGTGGGCCCTGCCCCCTGCCCCCCTGCCCCCCGGCCTCTCCTAGGACTGTGCCTGCACTGGGACCCTCTCCAGGACCGCCTTCCTGCTTTTGGGACCAGCTCCAGGGTGTCCCGGGAGCCCTCCTCTCACACCCCTGCCTGGCGCTCCGGATGCCTTCACTCGCGGGGCCAGCTCTGTGACCCTCACCCCTGCCTCTCCCCCTGCCCACCAGGCTGAGCAGCGCCTGCTGTCCCACGTGCACTCCCTGGAGCGGCGCCTGGAGGCCCTCGCAGCAGAGTTCTCCTCCACCTGGCAGAAGGAGGCCGTGCGGCTGGAGCGCCTGGAGCTGCGGCAGGGGGCGGCTGGCCAGGCCGGTGGCGGCCTGAGCCAGGAGGACACCCTGGCCCTCCTGGACGGGCTGGTGAGCCGCCGCGAGGCCGCCCTGAAGGAGGACCTGCGCAAGGACGCCGCGGCTCGCCTGCAGGTGACGCCACGGGTGGGACCGAGAGGTCAGGGCCACTTGCCCTGGTGCTGGGTGCTGACCCCTCCGTGTCTGGCAGGAGGAGCTGGCCGTCCTGAGGGCGGAGCAGCACCGGGACGTGGAGGACCTCTTCCACAAGATTGTGCAGGCCGCCCAGGTCGGTGGGCGTGGTGGCCCCGGGCCCCTGGGGCGTGGGCTGGGGAGGGCCCTGTCCCCTGCTTCTCTGTTGGGGCGGAGCCTGCCTGGGACCCCACAGGGGCCTTGACCCCTGCCAGCTCGGCTCCCCTGCTGGGCGACAGGCTCCTCGGGGCTCAGTGTTTCTTCGTGTTTTCCCTTCTTTGTGCCTCCAGGAGTCTGAGGCTCGAGTCCAGCAGCTGAAGTCCGAGTGGCAAAGGTAGGGGCCAAGCCCGGGCTTGCTGCTCCCCACCCCCTCCCCCATCCCCCAGGAAGGGCTGGAGGCCGCAGGGGTCAGGGCTGAGGCCTGGCTCAGAGCCCTCTTCTGTAGGCGCAGCGGAGGTTACAGGGGGCCGCCGAGGTGAGAGGTGGGCACGGCCATGGGATGGGATTCGTGGGGTCATTTGTCATCCCCTCTCCTCCGGGTGCCCGTGTGGCAGTGGCCGTCTCAGGCCCGGATGTCCACACTTGCAGAGGAGATCACGGCTTCTGGGCGTGAACAGGGAACGGGATCAGGGTTAGCCCTGGGACACGCAAGCCCGTGTGGGTGGGTGGCGGGCAAGCACTCCCATACCTGGGGCCGACCAGGGGGTCCTCCCCTCCTCCTCTCTGGGACCAGGACGGCCCAGGAGAGCACCCTGAAGGAGCTGGGCCGGCTGGAGGGCCAGCTGGTCTCCCTGCGCCACGAGCTGGAGGCCCTGGCCCTGAAGCAGAGCTCCGTGGCGGACGAGGTGGGCCTGCTGCCCCAGAGGATCCAGGCCGTGCGGGACGACGTGAGTCCACACCACCCCGAGATCGCGTCTCCTGGGGTCTGCGCAGCCGGGGCCCTGGCCCCTGGGCCTCCCTTGGGAACTGGGCGCAGCACAGGCCGGCCTTCTCCCAGGCAGTCCCGCTGTGCCTCCCACCCCTGGGCTGCCACGGCGGCCCCCACGGTTCCCCCACAGCTCTGCCCCGCCCCCAGGTGGAGTCTCAGGTCCCTGCCTGGATCACTCAGTTCCTTCACCGCGGCGGGGGAGCCCGCACCGGGCTGCTGCAGAGGGAGGAGCTCCAGGCTCAGCTGCGAGAGCTGGAGAGCAAGATCCTGGCCCAGGTGGCGGAGACGCAGGGCACGTCGGCCAGGGAGGCCGCAGCCGCCCTCAGTCTGACGCTGCAGAGAGAAGGCGTGATCGGGGTGACTGAGGAGGTGAGGACGGAGTGCCCCCGGCCTGCCACACACACAGGCTGCCCTCCTCCCCGGGGGCTCAGCCCCTGCCACGTTCCAGGACACGAGTGACACACAGCAGGCTCGGATGTGTGCTTGGGGGCTGGCGTGGTGCCGGCCTGGGGGTCCCCGGCCCCGGCTGTGGGGCACGGGGGGGCGGGGGGCAGACGAGCCTGCTTGCGCTGTGACTGCGTCCTGGGGCGGGGCTTCAGCAGGTGCACCGGATCGTGAAGCAGGCCCTGCAGCGCTACAGCGAGGACCGCATTGGGATGGTGGACTACGCCCTGGAGTCGGGAGGTGCGTGCTCGTGTCCTCGCTCCGCCTTGCCCTGGTCGCAGCCCTGGTCGCAGCCCTGGCCGGGCCCCTGGCACCTGCTGAGCAAGCGTGGCTGGGGATCAGCAGAAATCACCAGCCGCGACGCGCAGCGAGTCTGTCCCTGCCGGGGGAAGGCATTCTGTGCCGAGCGGCACAACGGTGCAAGCGAGGGCTGAGGCCTGGGCCACCTGCCCTCCGTCCTTAGCAGGGAGACGGGCCGGGGGAGTGCCCTCTGGCTGCCCCCGCCCTCCCTGCTGGGGGCTCCCGAGGCTGCCGTCCAGGCTGCTCCCCGGCGGGCGCCCACCCTGCCCCTCTGCCGTCCCAGGGGCCAGTGTCATCAGCACCCGATGTTCCGAGACCTACGAGACCAAGACCGCCCTCCTCAGCCTCTTCGGTATCCCTCTGTGGTACCACTCCCAGTCGCCCCGCGTCATTCTCCAGGTAGACACTGAGCACCCTGGCAGACTGTCCCCTCCTGGCTCGGCCAGAGCTGGACTCAGGCCCTGCCCTGACGTGGCCTCTCCCCCTGCAGCCCGACGTGCACCCGGGCAATTGCTGGGCCTTCCAGGGCCCCCAGGGCTTCGCTGTGGTCCGCCTCTCTGCCCGCATCCGCCCGACGGCTGTCACCTTAGAGCACGTGCCCAAGGCCTTGTCACCCAACAGCACCATCTCCAGTGCCCCCAGGGACTTTGCTGTCTTTGTGAGTACCACCTGCGGGGGTCTTCACCTGCTGGGGTCGCTTCTTGGCCGGGAGGGAGGGCGGGCCCTGGAGTTGGAAGAGGTGGAGCCAGGCTGAGAGCTGGCACGGCAGTCCCAGCTGCCGCAGGGACTGCGGCGCGTGTTAAGGGACGCGTCCCAGCCCCACAGCATCACACGCTTAACCCGAGTGGTGGGAGGGCCCCCCGCCCTCCAGCCCCCCACATGGGCCGCGCCGTCTCGCAGGGGTTCGACGAGGACCTGCAGCAGGAGGGGACCCTGCTCGGCAAGTTCACCTACGACCAGGACGGGGAGCCCATTCAGACGTTCTACTTCCAGGTACAGGGTCTGTCCTGTGGGTGGGCACGGGGCTCGGTGAGGGCCAGGGACGCGCCCTGCAGCCAGCACAGCCCCGCGGCTGGCTGGGGTTACCGGGGGACAGGACTGCAGAGGACACCCTGGGAGGGACCTTCGTGTGCCAGGATGTGGCTGGCCGGGGCCCCAGGCGGTGTCTGAGGCTGGAGTTAGAAACCCAGATTCCTGGTCTCGCTGCCACCATAGCCCCCCAGCACCTGCCCCTGAACAAAACACGCAGACGAAGCTGAGTGGGGCGGGGACCCACAGCAGGGGCCCAGTGCGAGGGCTGGGGCAGCGGCAGGGAGGCAGGCCAACCAGGGGCGGGGATGGCACTGGGCGTTTTGGTAAGGTCGCTGCATGGAAGCCGGAAGCCAGGGAGACGGTCAGGGAGTGGCTGCGGGGGTGCAGTCCAGAGGGGGTCGGGAGGGCAAAGTGGGCCGGCTCCTGACTGCTGCACGGCCAGCTGGGAGTGGGCCGAGGGGCTGATGCAGGCCGGAGCCGTCTGGACGCCGAGCTGACGGTGCCTGTGGTGCCAACTAGCAGAGCTCCGGCCCAGGTGCTGGCTGAGCCGGGGGGAGGTGGGGGGGAGGACCCGGCAAGCGCCAGGCTCCGCGCCAGCTTCGCGAACAGAGGACACGCCCGGAGCAAGCCCTCCCCGTGGCCGTTCTGGCCGTTGAAGCCTTAAAATGAGCATGGGTGGGTCCGGCCCAGTTTGGGTGAATCGTGCTGGTCCCGGGCACCCAGCCCATGTCCAGGTGGCCCAAGGCCTGGGCCTCACACAGCTCGTGGGGGCCGGTGGCTCCGTGGGGAGCGGAAGCCTGGGCTCCGGCCCACTGGCTAGGAGCGGAAGAGCAGCTCTGGGAGCCCTGGAGGGGCAGAATGGGAGCACCTGGGCCGCGGCGCCCCGCCCCGCGGCGCCCCGCCCCGCGGCGCCCCGCCCCGCGGCGCCGAGGCCTCAGGAGGCTGGGAGCTCTGAACCTGTTTTCTCTGCCCAGGCCCCAGCGATGGCCTCGTACCAGGTGGTGGAGCTGCGCATCCTGACC